CTTCATCACCGACGCGAAGACGCCGTCATCGTGGTCGGCGTGATCAGCATCGGCGCCGTCGCTGGCCGCGCCGTCGCCGTTGTCGCCGTCGCCACCAGCACCGCTACTATCATCATCGCGTCTACCGTCGTCGACGTTGCCCTGATACTGCGCCCGCCCACGTCGCCGACTCGCACTGAAGTGCCCGCTGGGAAGTGCCCCGAGGGCAACGCCATGGCGGCCGCGTCGGTCGCGCCAAACGAGCTGGCCGCTGCGCGCGCGAGCACGCGCGGGCTTGCGCGGCCGCGAAGATCCACAAGCCAACACCATCCATGAATCACAATCGCCGCTGCATGGGTTTTGCAAACCAAGTTGCGGGCGGGCGGGTGGGATGACTGCGCAACGCGTGGAGTTGACAACTTCAAGTTGAGGTAGGGTAACCTTGCGCGCGTGCTGGGGTGGCACGATCCGTGTCAAATACTACCATGCGGGCCACTCCAGCGCGTCGGCCGCGCGCGTATTTCGAATTCCTTTCAAAACCTTCATCGCCGACGCGAAGACGCCGTCATCGTCGTCGGCGTGATCGGCATCGGCGCCGTCACTGGCTGCCCCGTCGCCCCTGCCAGCATCGTCATCCAGCACCACCACTAACATCATCGCGCCTACCGTTGTCGACGTTGCCATGGTGCCGCGCCCGCCCAAGTCGCCGACTCGCACTGTAATGCCCGCTGGGATGTGCCGAGCGGTCAACGCCACCGCGTTCGCGTCGGTCGCGTCAAACTAACTGGCCGCTGCGCGCGCGAGCATGTGAAGGCTAGTGCGGCCGCAGAGATGCACCAGCCAACACCCAGCACTCATCGCAATCGTTTCCGCATGGGCTTTGCAAACCAAGTGGCGGGTGGGTGTGTGGGACGATTGCGCGAGCAGTGGAGTTGACAAGTTCAAATTCGGCAGAGGAAATCTCATTTCTCCATCAAACAAAGTATACCCCCCCCGCCCGGGGTTAAAGATCCCCTGGGAACCGATGCAAAACACATAGGAGTCTGACCCAATGTCCATCCGACCTGTAATCTCCTACTATCCAAGCTAGGCCGGTATCGACCCCCCCCCGCCATCCTCTGCAAACCAAAAAACTATGCACAAACACTCGTTTATCAAAAATCATGAATTCCCAAAAATCCCTTGCACAAAAAGGCACGAAGTGCACACGCGCGTGTCGTCGCGCGTGCATGCCGAAATCCTTTGAGAACCATCAGTGTCGGAAGGATTTCAAAATCAAGTTTGCGAAATCTTGAGAAAACCATAATCTGTAGGTACCGAAATCGTTCGAACGCCCTTGCGCGCGTGCCGTCGCGAGAATCCGGTGCACAAAACGGAACGAAGTGCACGCGCGCTCGTCGTCGCGCGCGCATGCCGAAATCCGTCAAACACCGTCGGTTTCGGAAAGATTTCAAAATCGAGTGTCCAGAAAACATACAAAACCACAGGGTTACGCAAAACGTATTTTCAACAAAAACGTGCGCACGCGTTCTTGTTTCGTCGTCGTCGTCGTCGTCGCCGTCCCTCCACCCTCGTCGTCGTCGTCGTCGCCGTCGCTGTCCTGTGTCGTTCCTCCTCGTCGTCGTCGTCGTCCTCTTTGGCGTCGTCGTCGTTTCTGTCGTCGTTGTCGAAGTGATCGTCCTTCCTCTTTCCTCGTCGTCGTCTTCGTCCGTCGTCGGCGTCTCGTCGTCGTCCCTCCTATTTCGTCGCCGTCGTCGTCGTCGTCGTCGTCCCTCCTCCCTCGTCGTTGTCGTCGTCGGCGTCACCGTCCTCCCTCCTTCTTCGTCGTTCGCGTCATCGCCGTCCTCTCTCCTCCCTCGTCGTTGTCGTCGTTGTCGTCGTCGTCGTCCTCCCTCCTCCCTCGTCGTCGTCGTTGTCTTCGTTGCCGACGTCGTCGTCGTCTTGGTCGTCGTCGTCGTCGGCGTCGTCGTCGTCGGCATCGTCGTCGCCGTCGGCGTTGTCATCGTCGTCGTCGTCGTCGGCGTCGGCGTCGTCGGCGTCGGCGTCGTCGTCGGTGTCGCTATCGGCGTCGGCATCGGTGTCGCTGCCAAGTGCCATTTGGTACCTACCGTCACGGTCTTAGCAGGTCTGGTCTTGCGACCCAGTTGCGGGTGGGAGGGTGGGATGTTTGCACGAGCAGTGGAGAGAACAGCTTCAAGTTCAGCAGGTGATTGATTGCACCACGTAGATTGCACCACATATATTGGAACGCGTGGATTGCAGAACACACAGATTGTACAACATCGATTGCACATCATGGACTGCACAACGCAGATACGCACCACATAGATTGAACCTGATGGAATGTACAAAATAAAGATTGCACAACATAGATTGCACAACATAGATTGCACCACAAAGATTGTACAACCTATATTGCGACGGACACATTGTCTGAGGCTCACGCTGGATACTTGGTCTCCTCCAGATGGCACAGGATGCTCCACGATGGTCCAGATTTTCTGGCGCTGGCCTCACCGAAGAAACTGCCCAAGTCCGAGCAATGCCAAGTCCCCACGGCTTGCCGAAAAGGACAAGCAGCGGCACAAGCTTATGCTGTTCCCATCTTACTTACGAACCACATCCCAGAAATCATTTCGAGCACCCAGAAAAGTGTCAAAAGAGTGTCGAAACAGTGTCGAAACAGAGTCCGGCGAGTGTCTCCCGGGGCCCGACGCGTGAAAACCCTCGAGTTTCGCTACTTTTTTGGTGCTCGAAATTCTCTCTGGTGATTCGGCGGTGGACAAACCTCCCTTTAGTAGACCTCCCCCTAGTGAAAACGGCCTGGGACCGAAACCGACGGACCTGGACCCGCAAAAACGACGGCCGCGACGCCCTCTCGCGAACCGAAAACGGCCAATTCCTCAATCGACGCGTCCGGGCAGGAGGCCTGTCCACCTCCGAGTGATCAAGGCTACAGCAGGCTGGCGCAGCAGAAGCACGGGCACGAGCTCTGGGAGCTCCGCGCCGCGCGAGTCCCTCGGATCGGCGAGGGGGCCCCCCCCGGCGCCCCCTCTGGCGAGGCCCCCCGCGCTCCCTGCGCCGGGGAGGGGGGTCCCGCGCCGATCCGGGAGACGGACACGCTTCTGACCAGCCTCGAACCTCTCCTTATGATGCTCCAGCCTGCTTCAGCCTGGATCACCAGAGAGAAGTTCGAGCGCCCAAAAAAGCGGCGAAACTCGAGGGTTTTCACGCGTCGGGCCCCGGGAGACACTCGCCGGACACTGTTTCGACACTGTTTCGACACTCTTTTGACACTTTTCCGGGTGCTCGAAATGATTTCTGGGATGTGGTCCTTAAGTAGGATGGGAACAACATAAACCTGTCCCTATCCCTAAAATCGACACACCCAAAGGCGATGACAATCTCAGGGGTACACCCTCAGAAGCTGAGAGGATCCCTAAGATCGCCATCGTGATGAGGCGATGCCCAACATAGGGATAGGGATAGGTTCCAGGCTGCTAAGTTTCCCAAAAAGGGACCCCAGAGAAAGGGACTTCTGAGACCGCGGCGTCACATTTGAGGCCTCGGAGTGCGAGCGAATGTGCGACGACCTCGTGGGCGAAGCCGACCGGACCTGATCGGCATCGCCCGTCTCAGAAGTGAGGGGCAACGATAGGGGGGGACTGGCATAAGGGGGAATGCATCGACCTGGAATCGGCGATACATCGCCGATAGATCGGCGCTGGGCCTCCGATAGTGAATCCGCACATTCCTGGGCAGGCTGGGGCTATCGGGCCCCTATCGGCGATCAATGGGCGATTGGGCGTCGATGCTTCCCCTCCTATGCCTATCCCCCCCTGTCGCTGCCCCCGGAAAAATCCCTTTCCCTGGGGCCCCCATTGGGAACCACACGTCGGCGGTGGACAAACCTCCCTTCAGTACACCTCCCCTCAGAAACCGACGCACCTGGACCCGCAAAAACGACGGCCGCGACGCCCTCTCGCGAACCGAAAACGGCCGATTCCTCAATCGACGTGTCAGGGTAGGAGGTCTATCCACCTCCGAGCATGCGAAATCCGCGCGGACTTCCGCACGTCTGTGCTTCTGCGTGCGGGCCGTGCGGGCCCGCCCCCCGAGGGGGCCTCGCGGGGCGCTGGGCGCCGAGAGGGCCGAGGGCGGACCCCCCGAGATCCGGGCGCTGTCGACTGTGCCACGCCGGGCGGGTTCGCCCAGGCTCTGGAGCAGGGGCCGACCGTCCTGGCACTCCTCCAGTCCTACAGTCGGGGCGCTGACCTAGGGAACCCTAGATGAGGAGCGAGGCCCCTTTTTTCCCATCAGTGAAAGTTCGGTTTCCCATCGAAAACCTGAGGAAAACCTGAGGCAAGCTGTGCAACAATCAAGGAACGCGGAGACCCTCCCCAACGAAAAGGGTTCCTTCTTCAACGCCCCGACTGTACCACGGAATGTTCCCAGAACCCACACAAATGTTCCAAGAACAAGAGCAGTGTTCTCAGAACGTGAGCCCGATGTGCTAAGACAAGACAAGATCAGCCAGAACTGTTCCAAGAACATTTCGTGGAGGCCACAAAGGGTTCTTAGAACATTGTTTGGTAGGGCTATAGGCGGGCCAAGATGCTTCGCCACTGCTCGAGTCTCGGGCAAACGGCCATCACAGATCGGTCTGGCTCGAAGAGCGTCGCAGAATCTACGGTAGGAGCTCGACCACGGGAAGCCTTCCACAAGGAACCCAACCCTGAGACCACAGGACGTCCATTGCTTTTTCGTGTGGGAACGCCACGCTTTCCATGGCAAAACCATCGAAACCCAAGGAACTCAGTGCAGCCTGGAGGCAAGCAGGGTGTTTCTTGGCATGGGTTTCCACTGTAGGGCTCCGGTCGTACAGCTGTCGCGATGTCACGCTGTTCTTCGCAGCGTAGGATCTCAGGGTACCCACGTCCCACGTCCAGCGCCGCCCGAGGTCCCGCGTGGTACACCACGCCCGCAGGCCGTTGGGTGCGGACGAGTCCCCGGCACGGGTTGCCTTCCAGGGAGTCCTTCCTCGCGTAGAGGTCGTCGACCGCCCCGGGGCACCACGACGCCCTGCTGCTGCAGTCCATGCAGTGCGCCTCGGAGGCGGAGCACCAGCTCGCCTGCTCGAGGGCGCCGTGGGGCCGGCAGGTGCCACACGGGTCGCCGCTGTCCAAAGAGGCCAAGCAGCAGAAGCCCTCCGCCGCGCTGCTCCCGGGCTGGGCGGACGTCGGCGGCGGGGTCGCCTGGGCCCCCAGCCATATGCGCGCGTGCGTGGCAGAATGGATGTACCCCCACAAACTGATTTCCTTGTCGAATTTGCGAAATGTGTAGTATGTTTCCTTGGTTCGGCGACGAACTCAAGTTTGGAGCAAATGTCAATTCTGTAGTCGATCCCCTACTTACTCCAACAAAAAACACGACGAGAGATTTTGTGGCCGGTGTCGGCCTCCTGGGGCCCTCCCTCGCCAGGCCCAGGCTCCGCCACAGAGCTAACTTAACTGCCCAAAAACAAGACCGCCGGCCCTGCAGACAGGGGGTCGAGCCTTCCGGGGATCCCAGCCAACATCACAGGGCGATTTCGGAAACTCTGAACCCAAAAACGTTGTCATCTCCTGGGGGGCGTTTTCTTACTTCCGCCGCCTTTGACAAAAATCCGTACATCACGTGGGCGATTTCGGAAACTCTGAACCCAAAAACGCGGCTACCTCTTAGGTTGTTTTCCTACTTCCGCCGACCTTCCGCGGCGGAAGAGATGACAACTCCTTCGCTCCCCGCAGGCAAGACCATCTTTTTTGAACGCCCCACATATCTGGGGCCTTCTCCTTGACCTCCGTGTCCTGGTCGGGAAGCTTCTGGCCGCTCGAGGGCTTGACGGGCACCGGCGCAGACTCGCCGATCCTCTCCACGGAGAAGTCGTAGAACTTGACCGACTCGGAGCAGGCCGAGGCGTCGTCGTGGTCGCACGGGCCTCGGCCGTCGGCGCCCTTGCCGTCCATCCACAGCATGTCGTCGGCGCTCCAGTAGCTGATGATGGGCGTCAGGCCCTCCGCGAGGGCGTCCGACAGCTCCCCCATGCCTTGAAGGAGGAGATCACGGCATGAACATCAAAGCTCTCCTCGCCATCGCTCGGACGTCTCTTCCCTGTGCATGTTTGGGCTTCGTGCGTGTTCTGTTGGCCCGAGGGTCGAGGATGCTTCTCGATGGCCCCAGCCGAGAAAAGATGCACACGTCCGAGCGATGCTAAGTCTCCGCGCGGACTCTCTGGATCGGCGCTGGAACCCCGCCCCCCCCCCCTCCGGGCGGCGCCTGCGGCGCCGCCGCTGGCGCGCGGCGCGCGCCAGGGAAGGAGGGCCCAGCGCCGAGCCACGAAGTCCGCGCGGGGCTCCGACAGTTTGTTTTGTTGCCGTTTGTTATTATTATTATTATTATTATTCTCCTTCTTCGTCTTCTTCTTAATTGTATTATTGTGAGTATTATTGTTATCATTGTTCTTCTTCTGCTTCTTCTTCTTTTTCTTCGTCTTCGGGCGCCGTCGTAGCCCATCAGGCTGACAGACAGCTGGCACTCCGACGTGCCCTGGGACAGGACCACCTCCATGCCAGACAGGTGACCCTCGCCGTCCACGGGGAAGGAGGTGGCGACCTCCGAAGCAGGAAAGGCACTGCGTGAACATCCATTTTTCGAGGCCCGCGCGGAGCTCCGAGAGTTTACGCTGGCCCACACGGGGCCCAGGAGCAGTGTATGCGCATACAGCGCGCTTGGTAATCCGTCCTCTCCTCCCTCTCTTCCTCCTCCTCCTGCTCCTCCTCTTCTTCCTCCTCATCCTCCTCTTCATCGTCATCATCATCATCATCATCATCATCATCATCATCATCATCATCATCATCATCATCATCATCATCATCATCATCATCATCATCATCATCATCATCATCATCATCATCATCATCTCACCTCATCCTCATCCTCATCCTCATCCTCATCCTCATCCTCATCCTCATCATCATCATCATCATCATCATCACATCATCATCATCATCATCATCATCATCATCATCATCATCATCATCATCATCATCATCATCATCATCATCATCATCATCATAAGCAGCATCAGCATCATCATCATCACCACCATCATCACCATCATCAGCTCCACACACCAGCTCCTGGGCCCAGGATGGACCAGCCCCGAGGCAGCGCATGTGAAGAGCAACATAAAAACTCTGAGGTCCGCGCGCCGCGCGGCGGCGCGGCGCGCGGACCTCCTCGGGAAACGAAAAGTGGCATAAACATAGATGGGCCCCCCCAGCGGCGCCTCCGGCGCCGCCCCTGGCGCGCTCCGCGCGCCAGGGAGTGGGGCCCCAGCGCCGATCCGAGAAATCCGCGCGGACCTCCGAGTTCTCATGTTTATGTCACTTCTTGTTCCCCCAGGAGAGGGGTACCCATTTCGCTTCTCCTTCGAGGCCTGGAACGGCCTGCTCGTGTCGACGCACGACGCGCCTGGCCCGTACTCCTCGCTGGACCAGTCGCGGGGCCCGTCCCACGAGGCGCCCCCGCCGTAGCCGCCGCCCACGCCGCCCGAGTCGTGCGCGGTGTGCAGGGTCGAGTGCCAGGCGAACATGTTGGCCTCCTGTGGCGGCGAGCGAGGGGGCGGAGTGGAAGGAGAAGGCCTTCTCAGAAGGCGGCGGGGCTTCTCAGAAGCTCTCGCGCCGTCTGGAAGCTCTTTTTGATTTGTGCCTTCGGGGAAGGCTTGGAGGACTTCTCACGAGGCTTGGGGACTCCCGAGTCTTCTGAGCAGGCACGCCTCTTTCTCGCTTCCCCCCTTGGCTCGCCGCGGACTCCTGGATGTCGATCTCGACGCAGGAGACGCCACACACGTTGTTCGCGTCGCAGTAGTAGTCCTCGCAGTCGGACACCTGGCCGTTCTGGTGCAGCGACGTCAGGTACAGCGCCGCGTTGCAGCCGCAGCCGGCCCCGGCGAGGTCGACGGTATACCGGAACGTCTTGCCGAGCAGGTTGAGGGCCATGTAGTCCTCGTTGCTGAAACTGCCGTCGACGCACCTCGTCCCGAAGTAGGTGCGCCCCGTCATGTGGGGGACGACCATGTTGCCGCCCTTCGCCTCCACGACGCCAGCCTGCTCTCCGGCGACGTTCCACTTGGCGTTCACGAGGCTGACGGACACCTCGTCGTCCCCACCCATGACGAAGGCGCCGGGACACATGGCGGAGGCCGCGGCGCCAGCGCCGGCGGCGGCCTGGTCCTCGGAGGCGGCGAGCAGATGCTGAGACACCACCACGCCGCGGACCCCTCGCGGGGCGCGTTCTGACCAGGATTTCTAGGCGAACGCAGCCGCGGCGACGAGCGGGACGCAGAAGTAGACGAAAAAGAACTATGCACATACACCGATTCTGGCCAGGCCCATCCTGAGTCCAGGGTCGGTGCCTACGCCCTCCTGCCTTGGCCAGGAAGGCACATGCACCGATCCTGGGTCAAGGATGGGCCTTGCCAGGATCGGTGCACGTGCATATAGGGGGCCACATGCGAACCCTACCCCTACCCCCCACGATCTCTGAGGGGGGAGGGTGGGGTTCACTTCGCTCGGGAGCTCCCGAACGAAGTGAACCCCACCCTCCCCCTCAGAACATGTCCCTATCCCTATGCTGGGCACCTCCTCATCACGATGCCAATCTTAGGGATCCCCTTATTTTTTGGGGGCGAATCCCTAAGATTGCCATCGCCTCTTGGCGTGTCAATCTTGGGGGTAGGGATACGTTCGAGGCCGGTAAATAGTTCTCTTCGCCCGAAGAAGGACGCACCAACACTGCCCTGCTGCGGGAGGCGCACGCCCGACCCGAGCAAAGTGTGTGGCACGAGGAGCCTCGTGCCACCTCGTTGCGGGCAATAGTTATGCAGTCGGGGCGCTGAAGAAGGAACCCTTTTTGTTTGGGAGTGGCCCAGTGTTCCTTAGTCGTTCTACAGCTCGCCTTTGGTATGCCTATGGTTTTCAATGGGAAATCGAAGCTTAACTTATGGAAGAAAGGGGCCTCGTTCCTTATTTGGGGTTCCTTAGGTCAACGCCCCAACTGTATCCACATCCAGTGAGTCTTGGAGTTTTGGGCTCCCTTCCCCAGAAACTGGAGGCGCACTGGATATAGATAAACATCTAGCCCACAAAGGCTCGATTTTTATCCATATCCAGTGCGACTCGGCCTTGCGGCACCCCTTCCCAAACAGTCCAAGACGCTCTGGATATGGATATAAGTATTGCCCGCACTCGTTGCACGAGCGGCCCGGCCACAAAACGCCCGCCACACTGCTCACACTGCCGTTGAGTCGGGCCTGCCCCCCTGCAGGGGGATCTTGGACGAAAAATTAGTCTCAAAGCACCCCCAAAAAATATACAACAATGGTCAAACAAGACTCCAAACATAATTAGTCTCCAGACTCTCTTTTGACTGTTCTGGAATACTCCCCCTGCAGAGGGACAGGCCCGACTGGACACTACCGGGAGGCTCCCGCGTGCGCGCCGCCCCGGCGGAAGCGACGCGCACGCAGCGCAGGCGCAGGAGGAGGAGGGGGGGGGAGGGGGAGGGGGAGAGGAGGAGGAGGAGGAGGAGGAGGAGGAGGAGGAGGAGGAGGGGGGGGGAGGGGGAGGAGGAGGAGGAGAGGAGGAGGAGGAGGAGGAGGAGGAGGAGGAGGAGGAGGAGGAGGAGGAGGAGGAGGAGCCCGAGCCCCACCGCGCGAGGGCCCTCCCGGACGAGCCGCGGCGCTGGGGCGCCGAAGCCTCCGCGGGTCCTCGGGCTCGCTGGCCGCGGTGCCCGCGGCCGGCGTGGCCGGCGTCGCCGGGGTCGCCGCCGGGGGGGCCTTGCGTTGCACCCTCGGGGGGCCTCGTCCGTTCCATGGCGTCGCCAGTCGCGTCGGATCTGCGTCGAGTCCACGTCGGATCCGCGAATCCACGTCGAGACCGCGTCGAATCCGCGTCGGATGCGCGTCGGATCCGCGTCG